GATAATTTTTTTGAGTTTTTTTCCTTTTTGGGTATGGATAGCTTTCACCACCAGATGGCATCCATACACCTACAAATCCACGCCTCCCGCCCCCAATTTACAGCACTTTAGTGGGGGAAAGATTCTGTATTTCTTATATACAGTAGTATTATAACAAGAAATAAATAAATTTGCTTAAGATTGTATCTGGTGTTTCTGAGTTCTGTGGATGTCATTCAGCAAGAAAAGTGGGCTACTGATCTTGCCAAATCAAGGACACAATATTGTTACCTCAGGAATACAAACTGCATGATCTCAAAATATGGGAAAAATAATCAACATTTCATGAAATAAAGTAATGTATTATAAGGCTGACCTACAAGTAGGGATTTTTTTCCCCATCCAAACAATAAAGCTTTGATGAACGTGTTCATCCCACATCCTGTCCTGATTCTCGGCTGCAAGAGGCCAGCCCGAGCCAAGCCTCCATACTCACTGCCTTCCGGCATGGCTTCCGAGGGGATCCAGTCAGGCCAAGAGACTCTAACAGAACCTGGTCACCTTATGGACTAAATAAATATTTTCTTAGAAGACGGACTAGAAATGGATCATCAGAAATTATGCTTTTACTTACAGAGGAAGAATTCCAATCCTCAAAAATTTTTAGAACATAACTCAATCAGAACTTGGGGGCTTCTTTCAGTAGGTGCTATGAAATTCAATAACCAGGACTCTGCTTTACTTTATAGTAATCTAAGTATTTCTTTTATTTTCCTACTATGCTTCATGAAGGGAGATTATCTGTGTCTGACCTATACTACCCAGCACCACACCTATCACCAAGGGTACCTGAGAGTTGTCAGTTGAAATGACCTGACCAAGATTCCCTAGCAATTTGTGAGTACTGAGCCATATTAAAATTTGTTTGTAATGATGTATAGTAACTAATTAGTAAAATGATCACTGCACCATAACAGAACAAGATCCTCAGCCCAAATTTAAATGGCCACAGATTGATATGTTTATAAAACTTATCAACTATCACATTCTAACAAAAATCAAGACAACTAACAGATGCCATCTCTTTCTTATTTGCTAATTTGTACCACTAATTGCTGAGAACTGGAAATCCATTAACTAAATATATTAAAATTATATAACTGCATCATCTGACTACACAAACGCAACAATGATTATGCATAGTAACATAATAATAACAACACAACACAGTCCTAGGAGGAAAAATCCATGGACTCTGGAACATCTGTTCTGGTTATCTGAGAAAAGAGGCTTTGTACTTTATTTGTATGCAACTGGTTCCTCTGAGGAGTTGCAAATTCCTGAAGCTACTGAATAGGCAACTTCTGTATATTTCTGTATATAGTAAAGTACTATACCGTAGAATACAATTATTGTAATAGGAGTTCAAACAAATTAATGTAGGCTAGAGTTATTAAAAAATAACTAGGGACTTGACCTGAGACTGGAAAGATGATCATCATTTGGATTAGGGAAGAAAAGGGGAAAAATGTAAAAAGTAAGAGAGAGATAACATGAGGTCTATACTTTAAGAACTATTAAGTTCTATACCTTAAGAACTATACCTTAAGAACTATACTATACCTTAAGAACTATTAATTTGAAACACAGGAACATAGAGAATATTATATACAAAAAAAGCCACTGTAACAAGATTAATCTGGTGGTGAAAAACATGACAGAGTAGTAAAAATACTATAGATGGGACAGTAAGTCAGACATGGTTAATAACACCTTGAACTTGAATAGGTGTAATAGAAATAAACAGGAAAGAACAAATCTAAGACACAAGATTTAGGTCTTCTGAATTTCATCTCCCTTAAAATGACAATCCCACCTCTCTTGTTGCTTTAATACACACAAGAGATTATTGTAAGAATAAAATGATTCTTTTTATATTAATATACGAGCATACGAGCATACACACTCCCTCTAAATATTAATAGTTAAAACCACTCTATAATCCCTGTCATAATTTACTAAACGGGGCTGAAGAATAGTAAGAGTCAGAAATGACTACCAAGTTTCAAGCGTAGGAGAAATGGGGTGTCAGCAACAAACAGAAAAAAGTGAAATAATGAAAAATAAATATGGTAAAAGATGATCACTTGGCTTTTTTATTTAATGATTGGACATTAGACTAAAGAACTTTTCAAATGAATAATTTAAATGTAAGTTATTAAATATTCAAATGTAAGAAAATGTATACAATTGTATATTAATATGATCTTAGTGATATCAAAGATACAAACACAGAAACACTATGATATGATTATGATTTTTGTACTATTTCTGTATCTTTCAGAAGTCAGCAATAACTGTTTCATTGAAAAAAACTACTAGCATACAAACACAAAAGATTCCTTATTTCTTTTCACAGAAAATTTTAAGAAAATACATACAAACTTACTCTGCTAAGATCTGGAACAATACCCTTCAAATTTTCTACCTTTTCTTTCTCAATTCTCCAAGTGCTAGAGGAAAATGGTAAGACACCATCTATATGCCTTCTACTATCTCCAGTATCTATAGAATTATCTGAAAAATAAAGAAAAAAAGATAATGAAGCAATGTCAAAGTCTGAGCAATCTAATGCAATAACTGCTTCCTGATAGTCAAATTATTTTATGTAAACCTAAAATAAACATAAAATAGGTCATAAAATAACCTATTGTATGACAAATTCAGCAATTTGCATATGAGAAAATAAGCAACAGTAAGAGGCAATAATAAACATGACAAACTGCTATCACACAGAGAGAATTCATAGGGCTAGCATGGTGGCTCACACCTGTAATCTCGGCATGTTGGGAGGCCGAAGCAGAGGATTGCTTAAGGCCAGGAGTTTGAGACCAGCCCAGGCAACATAGCGAGACCCTGTCTCTACAAAAACTTTTTTAAAAATTAGTCGGGCATGGTGGTGCATGTCTGAAGTCCTAGCTACTTGGAAGGCTGAGGTGGGAGGACTGCTTGAGCCTAGGAGTTGGAGGTAGCAGCGAGCCATGATCACACTGCTGCACTCCAGGCTGGACAAAAGAGAGAGATCCTGTCTCTAAAAAAACAATTAAAATAAATAAAATACACTTGATCTTAGCCAAAAGGTTGAGAAGCAATAAAATAAATACATGGAATCCAAGAGAATTCATACCTAATTCTTAATGTCTGAAGATAATATAATCATTCATAATATTTAATCCGAGAAATTAACATTACAGTATTTCTAATAACACCAATTTACTTAGATATTATTAAAAGTTCTTTAGAAAAATTCTAGACCATGAAGATTTGACGGGAGAAAAAGGTTAACATATGCTAAATAATACTAAAGAAATAATTTTTTTTAAAAAAGGTAAAGTCAATCATAGAATTTAAAAACAAGGGAATATTTCAATACCTACCAGCCTCAGGTAGACAGACAACTTGGCTTTCCTCAGAATCTTTGTGAGTCATTTCAGAAGCTCCCGAAGAGTGTGAGCCATGGGAAATCAGACAGCTGTTATTTTCTGACTGAAATTTACAGTTTAAGCTACTATTTTCATTTGCCTGTTCAAAGAATATCTTAGCTGTATTAATCTTTAAAATTAAAATTAAACATTCTGAGGGGGAAAACAAGGGGTGCAGACAATGCCCGCTTTACTGAAGGATGCCAGGTAATAAATGTAAAAGGAACTAGAAAAATCACCATCCTGACCACCAGTGTAATAATTATTTCCAGGAGGCTTTAGAATGATACTAAATCCAGTCCATGAAGGATTCTTGGGGAGTAAAATGTTCACATGACTTTGATGTCTCATCCCACAGATGACTTATTAATAACAAAGGGGGTTGGGGGGGGGCAAGGGCAATATACGTAACCTAAACATCTGTACCCCCATAATATGCTGAAATTAAAAAAAATAAAATAAAATAACAAAGGGGGAAAGGTACATTGACAAGGAGACATCTGGTCACCACTACCTTAACCAAAATTATCAAACACAGCATCGCCAGCAGTGGACAAACAGACTTAAATGTCTGGCGTGAGGCGATGAGAAGCATACAACATCACCTATGTTTACTCTGAATCCAGTCATGAGAAAATTGTTTAATCTGAATTCTTGCCAAAATGTTTAATCTAGTCAAGAGAAAAAAAGCAATCAGATATCTAGATTATGGGTCACTCTACAAAACAGAGAGCTTAGATTTTACAAATTTTTTAAGACAGGGTCTCACTCTGCTGCCTAGGCTGGAGTGCAGCAGTGTCATCATAGCTCACTGTAACCCTGAACTCCTGGGCTCACGTATCCTCCTGCCTCAGCCTCCCAAGGAAGCTGGGACTACAGGCTTTGGCCACCACGCCTGGCCTACAAAATATTTCATGTCATGAAAGAACTACTCCAAATTAAAAGAGAATAAAGAGATATGATAACCAAACACAAGCATAATCCTTGACTAAATTCTAGATCAAAAATAGTAAAAGTAAAGAACATTTTGGGGACAACTGGGCAAATTTGACTATGGACCGTACATAAATTTAAATTACTGTATCAGGTTAGATAACAGAACTGTGATTATGTTGGAAAATGTACATATTCAAAGGAGACAAATGCTGAAGTATTGGGATGAAATGTCATACTATCTGCAACTTATTTTCAAATGATTCACGGAAGAAGGTATGTATGAAGAGAGAAAGAAAATGCAAAGGAAGCAAAATTAGCAACTCATTAATCTGGATGAAGAGTACGTAGATGTCCATTGAATTATTCTTTTAATTTTCAATAGGTGAGAGAAAGGTAAGAAAGAGAAAGTAGGAAAGAGTGGGCATTTCTCATCGATTCATACCTGGGAAAAACAGTCCAAAGGAAACCAAGTCTTAAATTTAATATTATCATCCAATGAGATCAATAGTAATTTTCTAATGTCAAATTTCTGAAAAACCATAAAGATTGGAACATACCTGAGTTACACTGATAGGTAACTTAAAATCTTTTTCTGGAGGTTCCTGCCCTTCTAGGTCTTCATATATCATTCCTGGCATTGCCAGTTGTTCAAAATAAGCCACCAAATGATCATCATAAAACATTTCATCATCAATATCATCATCATCTATTGGGAAAATGGAGGAAAAAATAGGACAGGTTTTAAAGTACTGACTAAACAATAAATATATGTATATATTTTTTTTAGAGGTGGGGTCTCACTATGATGCCCAGGCTGGCCTCAAACTCCTAAGCTCAAGCAATCCTCCCACTTCAGCCTCCTGAGTAGCTGGTACTACAGGCACGTACTACTGTGCCTGACTAATTTTTAATCAAAAAGGCCAACAAAACATAAATGAGTCAAAATATGATTTTGTTTTTATATTTGACATGAGAAAACTTTTGTAATTTAGGTCAGTAAGTCATTACAAACATTTTAATACAAGCTAAATATTTAACCTCTTTGAGGGGACAGGACAGAAACACCTGTCATATATCAAAAGTCACG